GTACAATGAGGACCCAGATTGTTAGGGGCAATAGGCTCATTCTGTAAACTGCTTAGAGAGAGCTGCAAAGCACTACATATATAAGTCTAAATGCTATTGCTATTAACAACTGTCTTGCTTAGCAACAGAAGTTTTGGATTTAATTGTGATCATACTGTAATTTGAGGACTACCTGTAGTGTTCCATCAATTATAAAAAGGCCTTTTGATTGTGTCAGTCAAATGAAGCTGTGGAATCTGCTCCCAAAATGGAATCTCAGAAAGTCTCATTGTTCTCATGAGAAACTTATATGCAGGTCAGGAAGCCAAGAAACAGGGCAAAACAGGCTAGTTCCAGGAAAGCAAAGGAGTGTGGCGAGGCTGCATACTTTCTCTTATTTAATCAATTTATATGCTGAATAGATAGAATATATAGAACCCTGGTGGCGCAGCAGTGAGAATGCAGTATCTACACTTATCAGCATACATTAAAAATGAGATTTCGTTGCATACAGCTCTCAAAGGGTAACCATCTCCAATGTACTCAAAGAAATTATGCATATATCCACATACACACAGACATATATTTTAAGAAGACAAAATATATCCCTGAAGAAGACAATAGCAAACCATTTTCAGATTGTTCTAAAAAAAAGTCATGTTACACAAGAAAATCACATGAAGTCATAGGAGTTAAGTTGGTGTTAAGAATGAAGTCAGGCTCAAACTGGCTGACCTTGGGCCAGTCACTCTCTCTCAACCCACCTCAACTCACAGCATTGTTGTTGTGGACAACATAGGAGGACGAAGGTGTGTTGGACATGTCTGCCACCCTGAGTTATTTGTAAAAACAGTAAAAGTGGGATATAAACAAACAAATAAACCTGATTAGCTGGCATTGTGAAGTCATTAATTTCATCTATATTCATCTTTGCCAAGCATTAACATTTTTCCAGGCCATAATGAGACACTTTTCCTTAGTTGCTAATCTTGATTGTGAGAAACGTGTGAGAAATAAATGTGTTATTTCTCGCTCTCACACTTCACACACACATCCAATATTCCTGCACAATCTTTTGGCATTTCTTAGCGGCAAGAGCAACTAGAGGGCTCCCTCAACCAACGGAGCCGGGAAACTTTACCAAGGGAAAGATAGTGGGTTGCAACCCTGGCATTTGGGGAGGGGGCCCCAGGAGCAGAAAATGGGGGTTTGGGAGAATCTGGGAGGAAGCGCTCATTTACTTCCACTTTTGGGTCCCAGAAGCCAGAGGCCACCCGCGGGAGAATCTTGAAGGAAAGGAGACCTGATTGTGAGATGAATCTCATGGTCTTTCTTCAAATGTGAGCAACAGCTGACAAGAAAACAAATACAATAGGGAGTTTTGTTTTGGAAGGAAGAAGCACTAGTAAATTGGAGCAGGGAAATCAGAAAGCTGTTGGGCAGCTGTGATCCCAATGGGTGTTTGTGGATCCAGGCATTGCCTGAAACAGTGTTTCTCCACCTTGTCAACTTGAAGCATGGCTGGCTGGGGAAATGTGGGAGTTGCTCCATCCATGTTGAGACTCTAGAAAGAGTGCAGAGAAGAGCAACCCACTGCAGGAAAACTCTGGATGATAGCAGCCTGCTGGGATCTCACTTGGGATTTCATGGAAAGTAGTATCTCTACCTTCCAAAACATTTGTGGCTTTTCCAGGACATAGCACAGAAGCGTTGTTTGAGCAGGGTCCGTAAGATTGTCTGGGACACTATTTATTTATTTATTTATTTATTTGTTTGTTTGTTTGTTTGTTTATTTATTAAATTTATACCCCGCCCTTCTCCTGACGGACTCAGGGCGGCTTACAGCCAGTTAAAACAGATAACTAATACAATAATACTAAATTTAAAATGTGCTTAAAATGAAATATTAAGTATTGGCCATTTCTTTTTTAAAATTATTTTAAAACCAGATTTAAAATACCCCTTAGGCCAGTCCGGCTAGCTTAAATAGCCATGTCTTGAGGGCGCGGCGGAAGGAGGGGAGATCCGGAATCACCCGGATCTCTGGGGGTAGTTCGTTCCAAAGGGTGGGGGCTCCAACAGAGAAGGCCCTCCCCCTGGGGGTCGCCAGCCGACACTGTCTGGCTGACGGCACCCTGAGGAGACCCTCTCTGTGGGA